AAAATAAATCTAAGGGAAACAACTTTTGGTTCCAGTTAACAGGAGCCTTGAGAAATAGAAGGTCCAAGAGATTTTACCATATAACCTCTCAGTGGCTTTTACCCAGGTGTATAAATGGTATTGGCAATGTTGGAGGATTGGCCTGTGAAGAACCTGCAGTAAATGGGGTTGTAGAATTGGATCAGAATTAAACTTTTCTACCACGCATGCACAGTGTTGGAAACTAAATTTTGACAGCACTTGCCATTCTCTCAAAGTCCACTTGCCCGGTGTAACTTTCACTCGCCCAGAAAGATGCCTCCCCTTGCCTAAAAAAATCTTCCCAATGATTCACAAGCCATACAATTTTTCGGTATCTTGTGCCCAGCTTGCCATTTCATGTTGAGTTGTTTTGTTGTGGTCCGTTTACGATGGTTTTATCATCTTTCTTTGACACATCTTGGAAAATTTCCCACATTTCCATAGTTTTAACTGAAAAACAGCTGAACAAACAGCTGGCACCGAATTTGCATAGATCCCTAGAATTGAGACATTAGAGCTTGAAACAACTTGTTGGCTAGTAAATACTGACATTTTTTCCTTCAAAGAAAAATTATACTAAATGACCTTAAACCTAAAGATGACTACAACTGAGGTACTAAAACTTTCAATTGAAAGTAGTTGCTATTTCAAGATAAATCTTTGTGAGATTCATTTCTTAGCAAGCAAATCTCCAATTCTCATGCACTAATTACTAGAGACAAAAAATTATAGAGATCAGCAGAATCACTTCACACATGTGTAACCATTATGTAAATTGTCACTGGTGGAAGCCGTATTTCATTTTGAATTACTGAAACAGTATGTTCTGTATTGGCAAATTATTTGGGTTTCTTGAAGGAGAAATTAATACCATAATGGAGAATAAAAAGGAGTGTTATCAATATTTAAGCTTACAAACTTGTTTCCCAAAAATGAAAATTGTACTCGCCAAAGGGGTGAGTGATCAATGATTTGCACTTGTGCAACGCTTTTCACACTCACATTGGCGAGTGTGCGACTGCTAATTTCCCACACTGCATGTACGTGTATGTTGTTCATGTAGATGTACTGGTACATGTATATAAACCCACAGCATGTTGTCCCTACTCTTAGATCAAATATCACCAGCTATGTACAGTCTTTAGGTGGTGTCATCTCTTGAATTCAAATGGTTTATAAAGGAATCTTCTGGCCATTATAAACAACGAGAATGCTGTTGTTCTATCTAGAGATTATAAAAGTGAATCATTCAACTCACAAAATTAAATTACCCTTGGACAAGCTGTGCAAATCTCATTCTTTAAGAGCCCAGAATGTCAAGGCCTCCTGTTGTTTCAGATCAAGGTTGATTGCTTGACGATGAAAAATGAGCACTCTATGCATGCAACACAAAAGATTGGAATTGGCCAGTTGCAGCCAAAAGAAAGTGGACACTGGAGTCAAGACAAAAAAAACAAAACAAAACAAAAAAAAACTAGCAAGCTTTGTGCAATGCCTAAGACAGTGCTGATTTTAAGGTTTTATTAATAAAAGGACTTTTTCAATTATTTCTTTCAGTGCCATTATGTCCTTCATCAAAGCCATGACATCTCAACTGGATTATTATTACAACTGTGATTTTCCCCCTAGCCACTTGCGCAAATTTGCTTGGGGAAAAATTCAGGACAATGCCCCTGATGTGTATTACTTACTGTCAAAAATGCACTTTGATAAAGACACACTTAATGAACTCTTTCACAAACACAAGGATGGTGGAGGTAATTTGACTAGCCAGGAAGTTGCTTGTGACTGGGTACGCGAGACTAGAGATATCTGGTTGTCATGGCTCCCTCCTGGGAGTCTGAATAAGGTGCCAGTTTATCTTGGAGGGATGTTTCCATTGTCAGTCAGTGAGGATGCAGTGTGGAGCAGGCCTGGAATTCTGCAGGGTAAAATTTGTTTTGTTATGATTAAAGATAAGCCAGAACTAGCTGGCAGCACTGGCGGCCACTTTGCAAGCGGTGCATAATGATAACTAAATTGATCTTTAATGAGGCCTGAATCAACATCACAAACTAGTTCTTAATTATGATTATCATGATAAAAAATGAAATTAATCAAGAAAAATCAGTATGAACCTCTCCCCCTACTCTAACCCAAACATGTATCGGTCAGGCATCCAATTACAGTCCAAGATGGCACCATCGAAAACTTGGTCTATCGAGCATTGCATTAAAAGATAATGCCTGCACTGCGGGTTACTTTGGACAAGGCATGTTAACCTTACACACATGTCATTAATTTCATATGGTCAATTAGAAATTAATTATCATGTTCTTTGCTGTAGGAGCATTGATGGCTCTAGAGGAAATCAACCAAGATTACAAGATTCTCAATAATTACAGCTTGGAGCTCATCATAGAGGACACACAGTGCAAAACAGCTCTCATTCTCAATGCATTCATCGAGTTTATGTCACAGGTGCACAATAAATCCATAGTGGGCATCTTAGGCCCGGCCTGCTCAGTTCAAACTGAGATAATTGCTGAAGTTGCACCTATGTACAATACGATCATCATGGGATACAGTGTGGAAGGTGTTGCACTGGCAGATCGCGACAAATACCCACTATTCTTTAGAACCTCTCCAAGCTATGCTGAGTTTAAATATGCCTATGCTACTGTGTTTGAGTTCTTCAAATGGAAGCAGTATGCGTCACTGACTGATACAAACTATGTGTCGCAGACTGTGACGGCTATTCATGAGTATTTAGAGAGCAGAGGGATTACTTTGGTATATGCCAGACAAATTGCAAATCAAGACCGCGTTGATATAAAGACTTATGTGAGGTCCTTGCTAGAGAGCTCAGCAAAGATTATTATTGCTACTTTGTTTGAGGGTCTGGCAAGAGCTGTTGTCTGTGAAGCCTATAGACAGGTGAGCAATGTCATAAATGTTTTAATGCTACAGAACTCACAAGTTAAACACCAGCAGCTCTAAACCTAACTTTAACTAAGACCTAACTTTACCAAGTGCCAAACATGTAGAAGAGGGTTTTATCATTTTATAGCTCCCATATAGGCATTTTAAAATTGGAAATTGCAGTTCTTTCTGAAAACACACCCAGTCCCTCTGGGATGTAATATATCAAACACGAGAGACAGTGTTTCATCAGGATATCCAAACACTGAGAAGAGAGTTGAAAATAC